TTGGAGTTATGGTTTGGGGTGCTTTAGCTTATGGTTCCAGGTCACCTTTAATCTTCATCAGAGGTAACATGAACGCGCAGCGTTATATCCACGAAGTTCTAGAGCCCCATCTTTTACCCTATCTTGACACCCTGGCAGATCCAACTTTCCAACAAGATAGTGCCCGACCACATGTTGCAAGAGTCACAATAGACTTCTTTCAACATAATGATGTCACATTGTTACCATGGCCACCAAGATCTCCCGACTTATCCCCAATTGAGCACGTGTGGGATATGATGGGTAGGAGATTGCTCAATTTACAACGTCCTCCTCAGACTCTAGAAGCACTTCGAGAGGAGTTGGTGGTTGCCTGGAAGGAGATACCACAGGAGGACATTGACCACCTGATCAGAAGCATGCCTAGGTGCGTTGGAGAATGCGTAGCACATCAGGGTGCATCCATACATTATTAAAGGTCAAAGGGCTTTAAAGCAGTGCAATCATTTTGAAATTTTTATCATTTACTTATGCTTCATTAAGTACTTATACAAAATTTTATTAAAATAAAACCATTTAAACTGGGTGTTCGGATTTATATGTCACTTAGTATACTACATTTCTTGTTCGCTCTATTGCGTCAAAACTGTCGATACCAAATAAAGAAATAAAGCAGCGTATTTGATTTTTTATTGATAAGGGACTTACAATCTAGATTCAAGTATCTACGTTCATGATTTGTTAATTTAATATGATTGAGTCAAATTTGGCTTAATACCTCATGAATAGAGAACCTTATGATTGAAGATGCAGTACAGAAAATATTTAACACAATCAATGACGTAACAACCGCCGTATCAGCCGATAATTCCAGCTTAAGTCTCGAGCGTTAAATTCGATCTTATGCTGGTGATAATAGCATGCTCCCTATTTTTTGACCCTCCAGATTACAACTGTAACAGATGAAAGAAGCTTACCGCAATTAGAAGAGATTAAATTAAATTATAAGACTTGTATGAGACAACTGTTGCTATGAAATTTGGTACTATCTTCGGAGGCAGGAAATCTTGAAACACTAAGATAGTCTTCAGCTATGGGTGATTTAATATAGAAGTATTCCGAAAAAAATAGTTCAACTAGATTAACTCGGTATACTTCAACGTTGACATCCACGTATGCCTATTTTTAAATTTTCCCTACGTACGGATTGAAAATCGTTATGTAATATTTTTGTCTATACCGTAATCTGAAGTAATCGGAAACGACAAATGCAAATTTTCGTAATTTTTCAAAAAAAAAATTAATTGCGTCCAGAAATTTTTAGAAGGTTGAAAAGCTTACAAAAATAAACTTCGAGAACGGTTCGAAGCTATTTTGTTTTTTAATCAAAATACTGCTGTCATATAAACAATTTCTATGACCCCACACCATGATACTTCCCAAATTTTATCTAAACCGGTGCTGCTATTTCCGAGATTAAGAGAGTAAAATAACACCTAGATATAGGCAAGCCGACAGACAGACCGACGGAAATCTAGTGATATAGATATAGGTACATATGTGTTGTATAGATACATCGCGAAAAATAAGAAACTTATTTGAAATACAAACATTTTCGCATAGGTAGTGAAAGTGAAGTAGCATTAACTGTAAAAATCATTATTTCGTCCATGTGTAACTATTTATTCAGATTATTCAGTGTAAGCTTATTTCTTTTTTGAAAAATCTATACCTCTAGTTTTGCCCTCTTTGGGGATTTGCCATAAGTGGGTAATGTGGGCAGAGGCGGATCCAGGGGGTTGTCCTGGGAGTCCAGACCCCTCGAAGTACACGAGCTAAAAATGACTTGAATTTCGAAGGTGTTTTGAAATTTGCTGACGACCCCACACCCGCTCTTCATTTTTCAATTGTCGACGCCGCCCCTCCTCCCCCCGAGACGGGTATATGAACCTCCATGAATATTTTCTAGATCTGCCCCCTTTCAGGAGTAAGCTACGCTACACTATAGATAGTAATATATGTTATAATGGTTCATTTATAAGCAACGTAAGTTCCAGAGACATTGCTTCAGCAGCTATTTGTATTTTTTCATCTATTTACTCAATAAAATAGGAACTAAGTAACACTTGAGCACTTTATTAATCCACAGTGATCATTAAACAAGGATTTTTGAAAAACAACCCGCCTCACAGTCTGTATGGGCACAGAATCAAAATTCAATTTCCCCCAACGGCAAAGTAAGCCTCCAAATTGCGCTCTGGCCAGGGGCCCCGAGCGTCGCGTGTACCCATACCTACCCACAAGGCTTAAGACAGCCCTGCACATACGTATCTTACCATTTTAAACTTAAATTGAGAAGCCATCATTCTATTTTATCAAATTCTAATTACTTAGGTGGGTCTTATAACTAATATCAAGAATAAATTAGTCAAAAAATGCAACAAAATACAATACACAAATAGTATTGTATAAACAAATAATTAATGACGCAAAAATTTTCAATATGACGCGACGACTCGGTAATTCTCGGTATCACCCACGTGTTCCTAACACGGCTAAATTCTTTTTTACAGAAAAATATTTGATTTCATAACTTACCAATCCTCAAAACTCAGGGGAGTGCTTTGGGATTCTACCAGATCAGAAAAAATAAGCAAAATGACAGCAACAGTCAAAGCAGATACGATCACTTTTTTCATGCTTTCCTTGGGTATGCTTGTTATCGAGAGAATGATATCTTACTATCTGATAATGCTGTTTAGATAATAGTTCAAATATTTCCTTACAACGTTTGTCACTTAGTACGATTTATTCTGTATTTGATAACGTTATATTCATAGTCAAAACTACAACACGTGAATTAACATAGTGACGTCATAATGTCGGCATTTTTAGGGCACTACTGACGAACGCCGACCAACAAAAATGCCGAATAAGTAACGTCATTATGAAGGTCTAATGTCACACCCAATTGACGTTATTATATATGTTATGATATGACGTCATATTATCTTATATAAAAGACCAAATACGAAGTCGATACGACGTCTATCTGAAGTTGATATGACGACTATGTGACGTCGATATAACGTACAGTTACTAGCAAAAATAATCGCGCAGTGTATACAAATGTTCCTCACAAATTGAGTATACTATGACAAGCAGTGAGTTCAGGGGTAGTAAAGGTGCCGCAACTCATATTCTAGTTACCTACCATTCTTGAACCGTCTCGTTCCGAGACGTCGTTATCACTTGCGCAATGTTTCAGGAGCATTTGTACAAAGTGTATCGAAGTGGTTAATAAAGAACAAAAAAATATCGCTTTACTTTTTTACAGGAGGCCAAAACACTATGTGACAATACTATCGTCTGTATTAAGTTGCACCACAATGTATGTTAAAGACGACGAAGCCATCGTGATGTCGGTCAAACCCGTATGGTAAAACAACATGGCATTCCCAAACAGCGAACACACGTGGAGCTTGGACATTGGTGGCACAATCGTGTTTCTTGGGTAATGATCGGCTGAATGATATATCTTAAAAAAATGAATTTTTGTCGCGCTGGATTACAAATATTTTAGTAAAACTTGTTTATCGTTATAGGTACAGAGTAGTTTCTAATAAATTTGTTATATCCAGGAATAAATCATGCCGAAAGATGTCAATTTGAAATATCTGAACAAGGAATATTATTATTACATAAGTCGTATTAACAAGACATTTTTGGTCGAAGAATTCGTTGTACTTTTTATAGATAACAATAAAGTAGTTATTAGTATTTTTATATTGGGTTTACCTTACTCTTCATTAAAAATATTTTCTTTGTAGGTAAGTATTGATTTTCCAGTACAGACTGTACTAGAAAAGACGTCAAAATGACAGCTTTTAAAGGACATCGTGTTGTCGTCATTAAAATGGCGTCAATAAAGACGTTATTTTTAAGTCAATGACGTTTCCGAGCAAATGTGACTGAATAATGATGTCGTCGTTGAAAAAATAAACAGTCAAAAGATAAGAGTCAAAGATTTCTCTAAAAAAACTTACATGCTCTAAAAATAGGTATATTTGCTAATGCAATCGTGTCGAGATCTTGTTTATGAACTAGTTCAAATGAACGATTCCAAAAATCAACAATCACCGATGTCCTGTTAGGGTATATTTTCAGCACCAAAACCCATCTCGCAATATCTCAGACTCTGTGTTCGGGAAAGTAAGCGGAACTTTCAAAGATCGACGAATATTATGGAAACAAACCATTTACTGGCCATTATTGTTTAAATAAACTTTTTGTTTATATTTTAACATCTTGAATTTGCCTTTCGATTTTTCTTGGAGCATTCTGTAAAACATTATACCTTAGCCCCGTATCGTCAGTCGACCCTACAATTGTAGGGCGCGTTTATGGCCTCCTTGATTGTCATACTCCTTTCTCTCCTTCAAAAATTTCTAGATTGTGTCAGCGTCAGCGCTCTCCTATTGTGAAGATTTGTTTTCCTTTTAAATTGTAGGAAATTTCAGGCTGATAAAACATGATGTAACTCAAAACCAAGCACAATTTGATGCAAATTGATGTTTGTGACATAAAATAGAGCGCTGACAGGGAGAAGTAGAAAACTATGACAATCAAGGAGGCCATAAAGGCGCCCTACAATTGTAGGAACGACTGACGATACGGGCCTAAGGTACATTAAAAAATGAATTAATGTCCGAATTATGCGGTGTTGAGCAACCAGCAATCAATTGTCACGAAATAATCTCTTTTCAATAGGAAATAATAATAAAATAGGTGGTCACAAAAAAATATCAAAGTGACCGACAGTAGCTGTTGCATCTCTTTCTGTGCCGTGGATACGGTCCTGGTTATGACGAAAGGTGCTGCCATCCCGAGAGCTTTTTATGAACAAAGATGTGACGTGTAAAGGCTTCTTTCTCTCCGTTTGTGTAGCTTATGCTTGTCGCCCATAGGGGGCGCTGACCTGCACGATCTAATGCGGACTTTCGATTCGATACCGATTTTTCCACGGATAGTGGCGCTGGCGACTGGCGAGAAAACTAAAATGGCCGCAAATTCTTAGCGAAAGAAACGTCAGTGCGGCCAGAACTGTAGAAACAGAAACTTTCCGTAGAAAATTTGAACTCCGGTATTTCGTTCTAATATGTTATTATAAGTGCGTGCGGGTGTGCACTTAGGGATATGTCGGGGGAACGAGAACTGCCTGCTGAGGACAGCATCAAGGTGGTGTGCCGTTTTCGGCCCCTCAACGATTCTGAAGAAAAGGCTGGTAGCAAATTCGTCGTCAAGTTTCCACAGGGTGGAGATGATAACTGCATTTCCATTGCGGTAAGTTTTATCTCGGTAGACTGCTGGTATGGCATTTGTTTTTATTCGTAGATCACTCGATCTTGCGATCGGTTTACGTCACACGGAGCGATTGAGTCATTCCTCCGGTAAGATCGTTTTTGTCCATTAAAATCTGATAAAATGAGATTGAACGCACATGTCTTCCGGAGAAGTGCTTAGCGATGTTGCCTTGAACGGTTTATTTTGACTTGGCGCTTTTCCAGGTATCACGATGCAGTCACATCCACCAAAATAAATACGATGTGATTGCATTCATTGGAAAAACATTTTTGCTGATTTTTCTTTGTTTTCAGTAATCTGAACTAATTGGAAGTCATGATCGATTTTCTGCTCTGTCGTATCTGCGATTTTGAGATTTCTCTTTGTTTTCTTTACTAATTTTACACAAATGCAGATATTGCAAGAGTACCCACCTACTATCCTGCCCCATGATTCTCTGGCCAATCAAACCACATTGACTTTTTTAGTGTAGAATGTTTCAATCACAAAGTTGATCTTCAGTACAATGACATACATTTGATGTCTCTGTCTTCCAGGTGACAGCTTGTTTGTTTTTTGTTTTCATTATCATATTCCTATATTGTGTTACACAACAATCTGAAAGTCCCGTAACATGCTGATATTGTTCAAAGTTATCATTCCAAATTTTAAGTTGGTACCAGACAAAACCAGCATAGCCCAGGACTGGCTGGATCTCAATATCAGCATGTTACATGACTCTCACACTATTTTAGTAACATACTGTGTAGAAATGTGATAATGAAAATAAAAAACAAACGAACTGTCACCTGGAAAACAGATAATTCAAATATATGTTATTATATTGAAGAAGATCACCTTTGTGATTGAAACATTTACTGCAGTATAGATAATCTGTCAATACATGTGGTTTTATTTTCCAAATTAGCATATGGGATTATAGATATGTAATGCATCCGATGAACTACCTACTACTTAGCTTTCTATATATTTTATACCATAAGGATATTGATCCTTTATTATATACAGAATATGTCCTACTGTCAATATTTATGTTGGCTATTTTCAGGTCAGAACATATGTCCTAAACATCTTAACCTTTCAGATGCAGAGTACTATTTCAATATAGAAAGTCACGGGTCATACTGTCACATTATATTGTTATGATCATGCAGAGAAAGTTTTTATTTTTTTAAGTGAAAACCATGCATCAGACAAAAAAATTAAGTGATCAAATTTGTTTTGATGTGATTGGGAATTCAAGAATAATTTTTATTTCAAGAGTAATAACTGGCACATCATCAATGTCTACTAAAATAGACACTCCATACAACCACCACTGTTAGAAATTAAAAAAAAATGTGGAACACTAAAAAATGCCTCTTGATACATACATGTAGGGTTGCCAAATTTCATTAAAATATCTAAAGTAGCATTTACAGAATATTAATAGTAAATGATTTAATTTTAAAAACATTACTAGCCTGTATTTCAAAAATTTAGGACATATATCTTCATATGAAGTTCTTAAAATGGACTCAATAATGGCCTTTTTAAATATTCAATTAGGAAACATCTTGTATATCTAGATATTATTTACAACAATAGAATACTGGTTGGGACTCTCAGTGATTCTCAAGACACAAGTTTTTTCTAATCTGGGGCCCTGTAAGCCATATCCTCAGGTCCCTCTGTACAAGTTATCTGCCCGAAAATAGGTCTTGCCCTGATGAAAAATTCATCCAGTTTTACAGCCTACAGCCAACATTAACTACAATTACATCAGTAATTTATGCAGAATGAGCTAATCCTTCAAATGTGTGGGATTAGGTCAAGACTCAGATTTGTCTTTCTTGATTTAAACAAAGGAAAATGTCACTTATCTTGTCAAGGATTGAGAGTATATAATGCTAGACCCACTGATGTTATAAGTGTACACCTCAGTGTACAATCAATCAATATTAAACACTTCATATTTAAGATAATCTAAATCATATATAAATATTTTATTCAATATAAATTTAGTGATTGTCGAAGCCAATTAAATATACAGTTATTTCTCTCAAAGCATGTCTGACTGTCACATACAATCATGCAAACAAATTAAAATAACACAGTGTTGTCTAGCCACTGTAAATGGTTGTTCCAGACCATCAGAAATTGTCTGTTGCAAAGACTTATAGCAATGATAACCAAAATGAATATGAGGTATCAAAAATAAAGTGAAGTTTTGGAGGTACCCGCTTTATTAAATAGTATTTATCACAATTTTAGTAGATTATATATTTTCAATGAGCAAAAGTCTTGTGGGGCTCCTAATGCTATGTCAGGGGAAACCATCAAATGGTATAAAAAGTTATATGTCGATAATGGGGCCCTTTATCATATGTGGATGGACTCCTTTAAAGAAATTCCTCTGGATAAAGTTGCTTGTCCCTAAACTTGCCTTAAATATTCATACTAATTCCTCACTTACACAATGCTTACATGCCTTTTGCACTTGAGGTTTTGGGACATTACGCTTTTTTGCCCTACAATTGCTAACCCCATTTTAGGCAGTACAAGATTTCAATTTAACAATAAAGAAGTTAATTTCTTAAGCTCTATTTTTACTTTACAATAATAGCCTTTTTCAAAGAGCAAAATATAAAAAGATCACTTCTTTGTTGATGTGTTCAGTGTCCTATAAAGTTTAAGCAATCAAGTTGTACAAAATCTGAGTATTATATTATCATGTTATCCTTAAAATGTACAATTTGCAATTTGGATTTATACCAAAAAAATAAATTTTGAATGTTTTATTATATGCTCTATAAGATTGTGTTATCTTTCCTAGATCCAAGTTTATGGTTGGGAATGGAAAATAATCTTAAAAGTTAAATAGATTTATGTGATATAACATTTGCTTGGTTATATATGCTTAACTGTAGCAGCTAACCGCATTATGTCTGATGGGCCAGTAGTGCAAATGTAGTAAATTAATCTGACAGACAGAATAAAACCTCTTACAAAATGCGAATAAATATATGATTCAGTCAAAGGTCATTTGATCATATACGAAAATCTTATGGTTAAAAATGTGTTAAATGATGAGATATAAAAAAATTTGGTATTCCTGATTCTGAATGAAGCAGCAGCAGAACCCACCATTAAATATTTGAATAGTCTTTTTACAAGTGAAAGTGGAAATCAAATGAAATGAGTTGCATCATTGTTAAAGATTGGTATTTATAATTTCTATTAATCCTTACAAAACATAAAGCTATTGCCAAATCCATACAAAATTAAAATACAATATGTTTCTCCTCAGATTGCAATTAATTAATTTAATTAAAATTTTGTTTTCTAGGCAGTAGGCTGAAAAAATTCTCAATAATTATTACAGATGTCCAGAACGAGCATTGTTTCCACCTTGTTTTCTTGCCTCATTTACCACTTGATTAGCTATGTGCTACTAACTTTTTGTTAAACTACCGGAAAATTGATTTTCAGGAAAATGTATCTTTTACCTTTTTCTTTAGCCCATTCTTTTCAGTAATTAATTCCTGACTCAGAAATAGGTCACTTGGTTTGTAGCTAGCATGTCCTGCTAACCTAATATTAACCTAGCAGAATAAGGATTTATAACCCCTTAACCCATTACTAAAAATGCTTGGGAAATATCGCTCGTTTTGGCTGTAGCATCATGTGTTGATAATTCAAGGAGAACCTAGCAGAACATCTTACACACAATACTTATACTTAACTTTTTTGACCATTCTTGGATAAGGCCTTTATGGAAAATATCGATCATTTCATCTGTAGCTTAATGCCCCATTAACTTAACATTGAGCTATAGCCTAGGTTATAGAGAAAAAATAGGAATTTTATGTAAAAAAGTTTAGCAGATATCTGAAAGTTTTAAATGATGAATACATGAAAAGATACAGCCAGATATATGCGCTGCTTTTTTATAAACAATGGGAAAAGCTCAAAATTCAGTATTTTGCTTGTATAATTTTCAAATTAAATTTTATAAATAATCTGTAAACTGAAGATCTTAGAGCGTAAAAAGATCTTCAATTTTATTTAACTATTGCAGTAACAATTGTAAATGTCCAAAATTTTGTGAGAATGAGAGCATCATTGCTCTTAATATGTGTGTAAAATTTGAAAATTATACAAGCAAAATACTGAATTTAGGGCATTTCCCATTGTTTAAAAGAACAATGCATATCAGGCTGTATCTTTTTATGTATTTTGTCATTAGAAAGACTCCATTCAAAACTTTCAGATATCTGCCAAACTTTTTTCACCTTTTTTTATCTAGCATAACTTCGATTTTCAAAATAAACTTTAACTCATCTTTTTAGCTCATCATCGAGTCCTTCATTAGCTCTTAATTCCTGGCTAAAAATGTTATTACAAAAGTCACTACTAACTTAATACTTAAGCTTTTAATTCCTGGCTATGGGAAACATTGTTCAGTTGGGCTGTATGCTAGTAGAACATGGCTTTTTTTTAAAAATGAGCTTTTTTTGTTTGGAGCCTGCTACAGCCCTAAATTTTGGAGATGTAAAATTATTGCATAACTATTTGATCTGCTGCTGATCTGCTATGCTTATTAACGTAGACCAACTCTATAATTGTTTTGAGTCAGACACAGTTTTATTATTCTCAAGAACAGTGTATGTGATGTATAAATATACCGTTAAAAATAATTCGTTTGGAACTTTTTAATTGAAAAGCGCACAATGGTGGACACGCTACGAAAAATATACGTGCGCTTCTATGATTGTATGCATTTATACCTACCTGTCTGTCCATAGGCGTAGTTGAATACTTTTTTGCCAATTAAATACGGTTCATAGATAGGCAGTAAGTTAATCTAAATAAACTTATTGAAAACGTTCATCTTCGAATTTTCCTCTACAATAACAGGCAGTCCCAGAGACAGACCTCTATACAGGGTGACCTGACGAACATTGCATCATTAGATCAACCTTTTGATAATCCTTATC